TCAACAAAATCCTACAAATAAAACACATATTTATTCTATAAACACACTATTTTAGATGGTTCACACTTTGCTAAAATTTTCAAAAATCAAATCATGCATCTTGTTGTTTTTATTGATGAGAGTGAATCAAGATCATGGGTCGATTTAAGAATGAATGTATTTGAACGTATTTTCGCTCTATTCACAAATCTTAGAGATTTAGATTTTGGTCAAACGTCAAAGTGGCTTCATCCAGTGTTGAAGTTAAATAGTTTATCTTCAAATAGTTGTTTTTCGTCAACTATTGTGAATTTGCGTATTAATGTATTCACATTCGATGATTGTCAATGTCTTCTTGATGGACGTCTTAGTCAACTGCGCACATTCATTGTGAGCATTGTTTTAATTTGTAATTCAAAATTATCTATCCATAATGCAGTAAGAGTATTTGTTCATAATAATTAAAGAAATCTTGTTTTTTGTTTCAAAGAATATATTGCATCCAAAAATGTTTTTCACTAATTTCGTATAATCGAACAAATGAATATGATAGTCAAATTGTTCCACTTCTTCGTCGAATGATATATCTCGAACAACTTACATTATATCTTACTGTTCATAATCGATCAACATTTATTGATGGTAGTCATCTTAAAAATGAAATTCTAGATCATATGATTCAACTTCAAACATTTAACTTTACTACTATTACTCGTACTAACGTCAATATTTTTGTTAATAATCAATTATATGAAGACATTCGATGCACATTTCTCAATGAAAAATTTTATCAAGTTGATTTTTACTTGGATCAATATCCAGATGGAATGGCTCGATCTTATATCTATTCACTTCCATATAACATGAATGTTATGCGTGATATTAGCCGTAACTTTCCTGGAGGTTTATTTACAAATGTTCGTGTGATATCGTTGACAGATGTTTTTTATCCATTTGAGCATTGCTTCTATAAGCGAATTGCTTGTTATTTTCCATTTCTTACAAATCTTACTGTTTCTGACATGAAACGACGAAATTATAAACCATCACATGAATCAAACAAAAATAATCAAATGTCGTCGGTTATTGTTTTTCCACATCTTACTCATCTAGAAATAATTTGTGGAAATATTGATAGTGCAGAACAATTTTTAGTTGATACGAAAACACTTTTACCACGTCTCATTGATCTAACAATTCCCTATTCATATATACAAGAAGTTACCGAAAACTTTACACGCGAAGCGACACGTCATAACTGTGCTAATATAAAGCGTTTAACCTTTGATGAGAGATCATTGGTACATTCTAAAGATTTTTATCAATATTTTCCTTGTTATAAATAGAATTTCATCTGTATTTTTGAGAATAAAAAGTGTAAATATACTAGAATAAATTGTATCATGAAGTTTCATGTCTCAATTATTTGTTTCATATTGTTTTCATTTATAGATTTTTGCTATTTTATACACATTCGACATCATGGATTCCATTATTGAATTCTCATTCAATCATTCTGAAAGCGAAACTATGGTTTCCCATTCATTCAATCTCTATGCAAGCATCATTCGATTTGAATTTGATTGTAAATTAAAATAAATCAATAGGACATCATTTACATTAGGAGAAAAAAAAATGTTCCTCTTACATCATCCACATTATTGAAAAATGAACTTTATTCTAGAGGTAATTGATCGTGAGATCTTGTTGAATAATTATAAAAATAAACGTTAAAGAGTTCGGCTTTTTGGACATTAATTAAAATCAACAATTCTCTATCTTTTCATATAGTCAACGAAATAATTCTATTTGTTTTTCTTTCTATTGTTAGATATGTAATGAGGATTTAAAGATGATTTCTAGCCTAGTCGAACATCTTGTAAGCAAGATCTTGCCAAGATCCTAAAAAGATAACTTGTCTTTGTATGTCTTAATCGTATCGGATACATCTGTAACCAAGATCTTGATAAGATCTATTTCAAGATTTTAGGAAGCCAAGATCATAGGAAAAGATAAGGATTCTGATTATCTTTTCCCAAGATCTTGAATAAAACAACCGTGACATCATCGATTTATTTACAAAACCGAAAATTTTAAAGTTTTGTAATTAATTTGCAGAAAAAAATCCTCAATTGCTTTCTCCATGTCACAGACATGAAAGAAATTTTGCAACAGTGAAGGCACCTAGCAACCAATGACATTAAAGATGTAAATAAAAATAAAAATATAGGAAGTCAAACAGTTTTTAAATGTGAACAAATTCCTTCGACTATTTAACTGTATGTTTATGAAAGATTTTGTGCTTTTTTTTAGAAGAAGACTGGCGATGGATGATAAATTCTTGAGAGTATGCATTCATATATTAAATTTCTTAAAGATATGATTTTGGTAGAAGAGTGAAAAATAGATGGTTTTTAGATTTTGATGGTTATGAAATGTCAAATAAATGACTTATATGCTTTATTTTTTTTATTTGAGATAGGATTAATGGTTAATTCAAGAGAAGTATCGTTGTTTCTCATTTGAATTATTTATCGTTATTGCTGATTAATTTATCGATTCAGTTAAACAGAAGCAACTTTTGTTTTAATTCGAATTTTTTATTCACTTTGTTTTAGATCATGCTAATAGTTAATTCAATGGAATCAAATTTTTTTAATGTAAATTATCTATCTTTATTTTTTAATTTAATTTTTTTTACTTTATTTTAATTAATTTATGTGTGTAAATGTATTTTTCCGATTTATGACTTTAATCCTGTGAATTAGACAGTTTTTTGTAATACTTTTTTTTTATTGTTACGATATATTCTGATAAAAATTTGGTGTTTTATGTCTATTCAGATAAGTAATTTTGTATGTTAAATAAAAATTAGACCACAAGATATTTAGTCAAAATCTTGAAAATCTTGGATATAGTACCAAAGATCAGTGAGCAAGATCATAAAAGATAAGATATTATACAAAAGATCTTTAATATCTGTTAATAAGATCCAAAAAAACCTGTACCCAAGATCTAGTGACAGATTTTGGTACAAGATAATGTGATTATCTTGTACCTAAATTTTCAAGATCTACTCACTTTTCTGTACCTTGTATCTTGGCTAAGATCTTGTTTACAAGAAGTTTCACTAGGAGGGTATCGTATAAGGAAAAATACGAAGTTTTATTAGTAATATACTCACAGTATCACATCTATCAATCAGTGGAAGATCGGCAGGGTGTGGGTGTGAGAAAAGAGCACAACTAAATCCACATCCACACCCTGCAATTAATTTGAGTAGACTCAGTAAATCGTTTGAAATTGATTTTGATCTCGATTTAAGATCGTTTTAAATGACACGGTTTAAGTCAATTATCTTGCTTTTTATGTTTTAAATCGATCTTCAATCGAAACAGAAATCGATTTAAATCTGATTTTTAGCCAAACACTTTTTCATGGGTTATATTAGTCTGCAATATAGAGAAAGTTTCTTGAACATGCACAAGAGATCACATTTTTGTAGCCTAACAATTGAATCTTTTCAACATACGATAGTTTTGCGCTCATCGAATCTGATACAGAAACACAAGAGTGCTGATGTGGGTATGGATGTGAGTGTGGGTATGTTTTTTCTTCATCCCTACCCACACCCTTCTAACCTGTATACTTCAAAACTCTTCTGAGGTCATGTCTCACGAAAGACAATTTTAATCTGCTAGTGCTAATTCTTCTTCTTCTACAATCTACCAAGTCATATCAACTCGAAAAATGTATATTGTAGACTTAATAAATTGATATTCAAAGAATATGTTGAGCTTACTTGAAAACTGGTTTCGTATTATTTATTAAAATATCAACTCTTATAAGAATGTGACGGTGTTTGAATCAATATGTCAATTTTACTTCTGCGTTAATCCACATTCATAGCTAGAGTTTTTTTAACCAGCATATACACGCCCTTCTTTCCTATTTGTTAATGAAAATACCTCTCTTGTCATTTTTTAAAAACTTATTGATAAATCTGTATTAATTTTTTTTTTTCGTTAGTTAACATACAAAGAACAGAAAGGTATTGCTCTCTAAAAATGCATCTAACTTTTTTACTGATACAACTCTCACATTCATTCGAAATAATTTCTTCATAATACCATTACTCTGACTGCAGACTGTATTTCTTTTATGAATCTGACTATGACTATGAAAAAATTCCTTTTAGTGACAGTGAATTCGACTACAATACCATTAGAATTGAGTTTTATGGTATGACATAGGAGTCTAGAATGTGTATTTTTGTATAGTCCTTCAGCTCACTGATTGAATGAACTGTATCCATACTTATACTCTGCTCAAATAAATAATGCTCCCTTCAGAAAAAATACAGAAAATTCCACAAAGAAATTTATATAAAAATTTCCTAAAGGGTGATTGAAAAGTTTCGACCCGTATCAGTAAATCGATGATATCTATAGCAAACTTATATGAAGTTATTGATCAAATTATGTCATTTTGTAAAGGAAGATTAGAGCTATCATCTGAAAAAAAAAAATTGTTCGAAATACATAAATCTATTACAATCTTATGGTCATTTTACGAATCTTGAGTGAAAATTTTTACATTACATTTTTTGAAAAAAAACAAAATATGTTTGTAACATCTTAAATAACATATTGTATTCTAGAGTTTTTTACATGATTCGAGAGAGTTCGACAAGTCCTAAAAGAATTTATACGTTTACAAAATGTTTGATCTTATTTTCACTATAAAACTTAAAGGAAATCAGAAGAACTAATAAAAATTTTATATATTAAATATCAGAGAGAGTAAATTGATCTTTCAAAGAATAGGTATTTTCAACTTTCTTATGTAACAATACATCTCAAAACACTAACTAACAGTCGATCAACTAAAGTTTTTGAATCTTAAGCATACTATCTCATGAAAGATAAGTAAGATTTTTATTGGTTTGCGTGTTTTCATTCGAATTTTATATTAGAAGTAGGATTCGAATGTTTTTTTTAATATTCATATTTTTGTAGAGCTTGTTGAACTCTATCGAACCACATAAAAATATCTAATAAAAAGATGTAGAAAATAATATTTGACTCGACTTAAACGACTCAAACATTAAAGATTTTTTTGTTTTTTTCAAAAAAAGTAATGTAAAAATTTTCATTCAAGATTAGTAAAATGACCATAAGATTGTAATAGATTTATGTATTTCGAACAAATTTTTTTTTCAGATGATAGCTTTAATCTTCCTTTACAAAATGACATAATTTGATCAATAACTTCATATAAGTTTGCTATAAATATCATCGATTTACTAAGAGAGGTCGAAACTTTTCAATCATCCTTTAGTAAGTTGCTTGGTGCTTTAGAAATATAAACACTTATTCTGATGAAAAATATAAACTCCGATAGGTTAACGATTGGGTGATTTATAAATATACAAACAAAAACCTTCTGGTACTCTATTCAGTAACAGTAACTCAAGAAATTAGTTTAGAAATCAATCAAAAACTACTGCAAGTCAACATTAATGTTCAGTTATTTTTCGAAATCGATCTCATCTTTCAACAACATTCCAGCTAAGCCAAGTGAAAATGCAATGCTTTGACGAGATGAGGAAAATTTCATTCAATCATATCAAAAAATGTAATGTTACAGAATATGTAGAAGTTTGTATCAAACTATCAAAAATGACGTGATCAACCTGTGTTCTA